TGTTAGAATTGTATCGATGTCCCAATATTTCTGGACCTGACTGTAAATGAAAAGTATCATAATTTATTAAGAAATATGCTGACAGTAGCAAGAATCAATCTGGCACAACATTGGAAAAGAAACCTTGCCATCAATATAGGATTGGGAGACTAAAATGGCAGAATATGCAGCAGTGGAAAAAAATGACTCTATACATTCACAGCAGAAGTCTAATCAAATTCAAGCAGGAATGGATCTCATATACAACATATCACACAGCATGGCTAAGCTAAGACACTTAGTATATGGTTTTTGAAGAAAGAGAGAAACTGTTTAAACAATAATAGTAACAACAGAATGATCCAAATAGAAATGAGTAACAATGTCCAAAGTAAAGTATACAGACATTCAAGTAGCAATTAGTGGCATTTCCCATGTTCTAGAGCAGCTGGTTCAATTCTGCCTAATAATTTTTTAATAGTTGCGCATTTATACATGCGCAATTAACAAAACAATCTTTAATCTTAAAGAAAAAGATTTTTTAAAAATCAAAAGTACAAACTGAAAGTACAAACCAGTTCTGCCTAATAATGACAAACACTCAATATGGGCTTGATCTGCCCTGTACCCCAAGATTCTCCCTATCTGTCAATAAAGGAGAATTGGTGGCCCTTCAGATGTGCTGCACTGAAGTCACTAGCCTCCTTTGTCATGGGCCAGAGCGGATGAAGTTGCCGAGAGTTTAGTTCTTTCTTAAACTTCTATTGTAATCTTGGGAAGGGCAAAGAGAAGAAAGGAATAGTATTTTTGTTGGGCTATGCTTGAAGAAGTGGGTGCAGAGAACTAAAGGCTTGCATGTGTTTCCAGTCAGGGGTAAATATCATACAATCCTGCTCAGTAACTATTAAACAGAAAAAGTTTTTTTAAAGGGAGGGATGTAGAGTGGTGGACCAGGCCTCCAGGCAAGAATAGTTGGCAAATCTCCATGGCCACGATGATCACTCCTAAATCCTGAGTAATCTTTAGGCCCTGAATTTCAGCTGGGTGTGGAAGTCTCTAGGTGCACCTTTGCAAACTTGACAGTTTTTTTTAAAAATCATGTTTTAAAATGTGTTCATTTCTTTGCATTACTTATAAGCTGCCTCATAGCAATTTTGGGGTGGCTGAATGAGTAAAAGAAACGATGGAAATGCAGAATGTGTGGGGGCAGTCCATCAGATCTCTGCAGCTTTGGAAATGAAGGCAGGGGGGAAACCAGGTAGGGGACAGTGGTGGATGTTGATTCCTCTGTTCTCTGTCTAGAACAACTTGAGCAACCCTCCAACACCACCTTCCTCACTGCCCCCTACACCCCCACCCTCTGTGCAGCAGAAGCTGGTGAATGGCGTTCTGTCTTCTGAGGAGCTGACTGGGCAGTCCAAAGAGCCAGAACTACCCCATGAGCCTGAAGGACAGAAGGGTAAGAGCTATTGCTGAGTATGGGTGTTATTGTCATGTTCTAAAATATTCAGGGAGGCACTTGAATGCTGTAGCATGGTGGATATTCACCATGTTCTGTTCCGTATCTGGGTGGGAGATCACCAGGAGCTTCTGATTTTAGTCTTTATAGTGGAGGAGCAGAAAAAATTTAATGAATTGGTTCAGCAGAAGGTGCTGTGATTCAGAAAGGTTTATCTTGGCAGTGAACTGCATTATAAGCAACAGAGCAAACGTTAAGGCAAAGTTGGTAGGTCTGGAGAAGGCAGAGACCAAGGGTTTTGAGGAGATGACCGGAAATGATTTTGTACATGTTGAGCCCTGAGAAAAGTACCAAATAAAGAGCATTTATAAATTGCTGTTATGATTTTTTCAGAAACAGTCTTCTTCAGAGGATCCTTCACTTATTTTTATTTACATTTTATAAGACATGTAAAAAGGAAATATATATGTAAAAAAAGATAAGCAGTGGACAACTGGAAAATAAGAAATGATTGCAACTTTCTGAAACATAAATGGTGGTTTATCTCTTCCCGGTACTACCACCGAAAAGTCCTTATTCTTGCTTGCCATTTACCTTTTATTTACCGATTGGGGGAGAATATAGAAAAAAGGCTCCTGATGTAAGTTAGAGCAGGACAGGGCTGTGAATTCTCATGCTGTAGGCATGGTTAATGGCACTCCTGGGGCATCCTGACATTTGATGCTTTCTTTCTTATCCCATATTTGCAGATGCTCCCCCTGTGGAAGTGAAAAGCTTAGATCTCCTTGCAGCTCTGCCTACCCCACCACACAACCAGACTGAGGATGTCAGGTGAGAATACAAGTCTGATTGAGCAGGAACCCAAAAAACAAACTGGAAAAGAAAACCTGTTTAGCTTTGTGACATCCCAAATCTTCTCCCACCTGGTTGCTTCCAGATGTGTTGCTCATTAATTCACACAATTCCCAACTAGTGTAACAAAGTCCATACATCTGATATGAAATTAGGGAAAATTGCTTTAGTTTATAGGAAGCAAATGAGAACTAGTGCATAATCTTTTGAACTTTGAAAACGTAAACCTTCTTTTGGGGGGCTTTAGCCTTTTGTCTGGGTGTAGATGGAGCCCATTGCTGATTTACTACAATTCGCCCAACTCCCTATCAATAGGTCCGCATCTATATTCTTCCCACCCCTAACTTTGGGAATGGCAAGTTCAGCTGGTATTCCCCAGCACTCCCATAATGTCCCTAAATCACTTTCATCAAAACTAAGCAGGAGCAGAAGTTTCCTAGATCGTGTAACCATTCTCCAATATCTCTGCAGGATGGAGAGTGATGAGGAAAGCGACTCCCCTGATACCATTGTCCCAGCATCATCCCCAGAGAGTGTCTTGGGAGAAGAGATACCACGCTTTCCATTGCTGGTTGGAGCCAAGTCTGAAGTGGAGGAGTGCCCCATGTCCCCTGTCATACCCATAATTCCAAAGGCCAGCATCCCAGGTTTGTGAAAAGTAGAAACTTGTAGGGAAGGTAACCTATTGTAGAGCTAGAATAACCTTTAATCTTTGTTGCATCTGCATTTCCCAGAGAAGTTCCCTGTAATCCAGACTGTTTTGATCTAAAATGATTCTAAATGTTATACACCTGAGCAATTATAACAATATACCAATTTCTATAACTATCATAATAAACAATTATATTGTAAACTTTATAAATGTAACAGTAACAATTCCAGTTTGGCATTAAAGATAAACTCTAAAGACCTCTCAAAACAGCCAGGCCTTCAGAAGGCTATGAGAGTGGGAGCCACTTTGGGGGGGAGGGGCGAGCAATTCTAGAGAAGAGGAGCTTCTGTGATCCTTCCCATGATGTCTTATTACAGATGGAGACCTTCAGCAGGCATTCTGTGGTTGCTCAGATGGACAGGCAGAATCTAGCTGGGAAACATAGTCTTGCAGACAGCTAGGCCCTTATAAGGACTTTGTAAGGAATAATCAGCATCTTGAATTGCACTCAGAAGCATACTAGCAATCAGTGCAGCTCCTGTAGCAGTGGTGTTAAATAACAGTAATGCAACAACCCTATAAGCATACAGACCGTCACACCTTATACCAGTTGAGTTTCTGAGTGGTCTTCAAGGGCAGCCCCATGTAAAGTGAAATACATTTATTGAGTGACCTTCACTGCCTCCTAGAAAAAGTCATAACTGACACACCAGCTGAAGCAAAGGCTTCCTGGCCACAAAATCCATTTTCTCTTCCAGTAGGAGCTTTCAGTCCAGGAGGACCCCCAAATTGCTAGCCTGCTCTCCACAGGGAAGTACAACCCATCAAGAGCTAAAGTTGATTCTGCCCAGAATCAGCAGGCCTTTGAATGAATAACCACTCTATCTTGCTAGGGATTAGTCTGAGCCTTTTCTCCCCATCCAAATCCTGACCACCTCCAGAAAGGACTTATACTATTAATTAATTAATTAATTAAATTTATATGCTGCCTATCTCCCCCAGAGGGTGACTCTGGGTGGCTCACAATTAAAATAAAACCTCAAAAAC